GTGAGGAAAGGGTTCTGAGAGCCTTGGAAGTGATATTCGTGATCACCGCGAAATTCTCTATCGAATGGTGTATGAAGTGTCGAAAAATAAATTTCACTGCAAGGCTGCCCTGGGTGCATCTTAAATAATAGCTGATGCCGATGAAACAATAATACCAATGAGTCCAAATGCCGAAAATGCGAAGGGAATAATCAATGCTTGTATCCATGTATTACTTGGTTTTCGTGCAAAACGTGTAAAATCACCAATATTACATGATAGTGTAGCAAAATTACCTAACACTGAATTCAGTGATGACAACCATGCCCAGATCATTGGCCATCGTCCTTTAATGGTACCTGATTGTGCTAAAATTGGTCCCGTACCACCTGCTGTTTTCACAGCCCATATGAGAATGGTTATTGTAGCTATTGGCATAATGATTGTTTTAACCACAAATAACCATTTTATTTTTCTCATTGGCATTAACACAAATGGCAATGGTATGAGAAAATAAATTAAAAATGATAATAATCCAGCTGATGTAATCTTTGCACTTTCCGGTAAATGATTTGGAAATGTTTGAAAACTTGGCCAAATAGCATTAATCATTTGTTTAATACATTCACTACCGATATAAGTTTGAACTGCTCCCCATATAATTGCCAAAAAACCACGTGATACAACAACAAAACAATTGCCAATCATACCAAATGAAGCACGTGTGATCACCGGGAATGAAACATGTAAATATGCACCAGCCCATCCATTGAGACAACTATAAGTGCCCAAAACAGAAAAAAATCGAATATGGATTTGCTACACATATCAGTAGATACGCTTGCGCAGGTAAGAACTATGCAGACATTTCACCAAAAAATCAAAATTTTCTTTTTCAATAGTTTAACCATTCGACTAAATACACCAATGTTTGGTCTATCGTGTCCTGGAATTTTATCTCTCCTAAAACCGTGAGAAAACTCATACATGAATTTTTGAACGAAAACCACTATAAAGTAGAAGTATTCGTGTTTCGAACAACTTAATGGATTAAACAATAAGAATAATGGAAAAAAATTCTTGGTCTTTAGCCTATTCACTGCAGAAAAAATGTATCGCTATTGAGCTTGAAGAACAAGACAGAAAAATTATTTTTCATGAAAAGAACGTTACTAAACGGTCATTCCTGAAAAAAACGTTTTTTAATGAAATTAATATATTTGACTTAAAGCGAGTAATACTATAGACAGAAAAACTATTTTTTGCAAAAAAAAGGCCATGTTCGTGCTCTGCGCAAAAGTTCCCTGCTCTGCATTGATATACCTGTAGGTTACGTTTTATTTTACAACTCATCTTAACTGATCATTTTTTGTTTAGCTTAACAGAATTTCATGAGAACTTCGAAAAACAGAAGTTTTTCCATAATCCTGTTAACACCGGGATCGGAATTTCGACTGAACTAGAAGGGCTGATAATGATCAATCAGAATTTCTCTATGTGTGCGTGTGTCCTTTTATGTTATGTTATTCTCTGACTACGTGCGTTACATGCGTCTCTTTTATTTACTATTTATACCCGCAATTTTCGCTTGTTGAACAGTCAAAATGATGTCATGGGTTTATTCCTTTTTCTTTTTGCAGTCTTATGCGACGACAATAAAATGTAGTCAAAAGCAGCGACTAGTTTGTAAGACTGTTTTTCTATTCAAAATCTTTTCCCAGCTCGACTAAACTGCAACCTTCACTCTCTTCCAACTGAAACTGGAACGACTGGGCCAATTCCAATAAAAGGTTTTTTCGAAGGTTCAAGTCCCACGAAAAAAGCTTTCCTGTTTTTTGTAAAATATGCTCTGGTTTTCAACAGTCGTGTGAATTTTTCGAAAAAAACAACGTCGTTTTTTCGTCTCTAACAATGACATACAGCAGTAGTTTTTTTTTAAGTCAGACCCCATCGTATAGAAAAGTTCGAAAGATCGAAGATGAAGCGACTCTGTCGATCGACTGGCTTATCGCACTATTCATTTCACAATTTTCTGTATTCAGTCCTATCCTACGTTCTAGTGAAGCGCTTCAATTGTATAAAACGGTACATACATAGGTATAGCAATAATTGAATGTCCAATAACAATAGCTGCAAATGCTGCTTTCCAACCTAAACCTAATGCAATCATTGAACTAGCCATTGACCATGTTGATACTGTAAATGCATCTGATATCCAATAAGCAATAACATAAAATGGATTTGACCATGATCGATCATGAGGTGGCACAGGATCAAGGTCTTTATTTGACCAACTATTTGATGGTGCAAATGATGATGGATAGGGCGTTAATATAATTTTTTGCTGAAGTAATTTTGTGCAGTTACCATCTTCTGCAGTATTTTCCAGTTTAACCATTTTGTGTCGAGTAAACACAAACAACAATAAATCAATGAAGAATTTTACAAAAAGTGTGGAAAAGGATGCGTACAGTGTTTTTTTTAGTTGAATTGTTTATAAATTAAAATTTCATTGATTTGGTTGATCAATATCACATACAATGTAGAAAAATATAACTTCTGGTGTTTGTCGTTTCTTCGTCGATATATACAAAAATTATTTTTAATACGACAAAGATAAAAGAAAAAGTAGAGGAGAAAAAAAATTGAGTGTGTGTGTATATATATATATGTATGTGTAAGAAAATGTCTTAATCGTTATCGTTTTCTCATCATTTTAATATACGAATAAAAATTCAAGGTTTTATTTAAAAGAAAGGCAATGAAGAAAAAAAAATGTCCACAGAAATTTAATGTTAAATACAGATATCAGCTCTGTTTAAAATATAAGGAAAAGAAAAAGAGAGAGAAAAGAAGAACAGAAACAGGAACAAATATAGATGAAACGAACTAAAAGTTACCAGACACTGAAAGAAAACGACAACTAGGATATTTATACAGTATCAACGTATTACAAGCGCTGAAACTGAGCAGTGTCAAAAATCGTGTGTTAGTAGCAATGGATACTGAAATGATTAACAAATATTTAAAAATTAACTGTGCTCGCGAATGTAATATTGTTTCTTCTCAATCAATTACATACTGCATTCATATCAAAACATCCTTAATTTTCTGAACTTCGGTTGTTAAAAATTCAAACGTTTAAGTTGTTTTGATATTGTTGTTTAACAACTGAAGTTCAGAAAATTAATGTCTGCTATCGTCGAGAGTCAAAACTCTTTTATGTAATTCTTTTGTGTTATTAATTGAAAATAAATAAATAAATAAATTTAGAAGATAAATGTGCAAACTATTTTAACTTTTTACTCAATGTTGCTAAATAATCTTTTCATCCTTCATCATACTGCTAATTACTTTAAAAATATTATGGATTATGAATAAAAGAGAGGAGATAAAGTTCAGCACACAAGATTAAGAT